TTTTCTTTCCGTTCGATAGGCCAAAGAGAATCCCAATTGCGTTTCAATGGCTAATAGGCCTAAGAAAACCCGTATGCCAAGTTGAGCCGCCAGAAGCAGTTTTGCATTTCAACAATAAACGAATATTTCGCGACCCCTTATCAGAACTATGGAAAGGTAAATAAATTTGGAAGCCATCTGTCACTCAAAAAAATGTGCACGTCAGATTCATGTCTTTTAACCTTTGCCTGTACAATTGATCAATCACAATGATTGTATGTGTTTTCTACATTGATACAATGTGTTTTACACACTTATTTCTCATGTTTCTATCTATGGAATGATGAAAGATTCCCCATAATTTTTTTTTCCTTTGTTCGGGACCTAACACTACTGCGACCAGTAAATTGATCTATTGTAGTATATCCCGTGTCCTTAGTTTAGTGCATGTCGTATTACTCCATCACTATTGAGAAATGATGAAGTATTCGATTTTTTTACAGTTGCCACTCTTGCATTTATCGCAAGGATCCGACTCTAATTGAAAGGTCCCGCTATTTATACCCTTCGGAGTGTTGAAACACCCTCCAAAGGCGCGCCCCTTTGTCAGTCAAAATTGGATTCCTTAGCAACAAAATTAAGGTATGACACCGATAATGACCATGCATCAGAACCCTAGTCTTAACCACTTCAAACTAGGGAACAACGAATAGAAGATTAGGAATCACATAGATGAAGACAACTAACTCATTTTTTTTCCTTGTTTCAAGATCATCCTCGGTAGACAAAGCCGAGTCTTGTCACTATCAAACAAGGCATAAAAAGTAACAAGGACTAAGATGTGTTCCTTGGATTACTGAAAAATCCTGTTCCCCTAGTTTGAAGTAGTCAGGAACTAGGGAACAACGAATAGAAGATTAGGAATCACATAGATGAAGACAACTAACTCATTTTTTTTCCTTGTTTCAAGATCATCCTCGGTAGACAAAGCCGAGTCTTGTCACTATCAAACAAGGCATAAAAAGTAACAAGGACTAAGATGTGTTCCTTGGATTACTAAAAAATCCTGTTCCCCTAGTTTGAAGTAGTCAGGACTAGGAATCGGTGGTAGATCTTACATCCCGTAACGTACCACGAAAAGGTGATCTACCCACGTTACGGGGCAAATAATCCAAATAAAAATCCAGGCAAATCCCCATAATAAATTCAAGTGCATTGCATGCTACATTCATTTATAATATTCATGAATCTGCGCTACATTGAAAAACATACAAACTCGAAGTGTTTTGCATTTCAAGAGGATGCTTGCTTAGCAAAAGTAAAAAACAATATTTTTGGTTTTCAACCTATCAGCTTCAAGAGAGCAAGATAAAAACCCTGGTTTGGATATGAAGCCAAATATCTACAAGGTAAATGTTAAATTTTGAACCCGTGGCCGGACGTTTGAAACCAATATATCCAGGAGTGTTGTAAGGTATGGGTTTTTAGTGGGGAAGGTATGTTAATTGATTTATTTTCAGTTTGTTTCCAGCGTTGGTGGAGTAGTCGATTGATGTACGGAGAAATCGGTTTCGGAGGATATTCTGAGAGCTATGATTTTCGTGACATGTTACAGGAAATGCTTAAAGGAATTTTTGTTTGATTTTGTTTACACTCATTTCTTTATTCATCATTGCCGTTTTCGATATGAGTTTAATCGATTCTTTCGGAATCGACTATATGTCGGAAGGAAAATTAATATATTTCTAATACCCCGTTTACATTACAGCGTATATCACTTGATATACGCTGTCTTGCAAGGAGCACTCATACATCTAGTAATCACTGGAAATCCTACGTATGAGTGCTCATTGCAAGACAGCCTATATTACGTGATATAGGCTATAATGTGAACGGGGTATAACCAACAATCAATACGAAACTAACGATTTTAAATTGGCTCACCACTTTAGTAGCCTATTGGTCCCAAGCAAACGATTAACGTACCCTATTCTAGTTGAAATTCTATTACTACACTATGTTTGTTTTGATTCGCTATGAAAGTTTGACAGATAACATCAGGGGTGTGTGGATTCATGCAGAACATGCAGGGGTGAGTGAAATAGCTTGGGACTGCTTGGGACCGTTGTTCTGGTACTGAGTGAGCCAAAAATAATAATGATTTTCTTCGGGACCCAGTGGTCTTAGAGTTACCTCTATGGTATAACATACTTCTCCCAATATCATTAAAACCCGATCTATCTACTATGTTTATCTACTGTCATAATAAGAAAATAAACATTGGAAAATAAAACTTCGTTTCAAAATACATTACATTTAATACCTAAATGTAAGGCACTCAAATTAGTTATGATTTACAGTATAATTTCAAGAATAGATCATTTTACGGTAGTGAGTGAGACTGTTAATATCAATAAGTGAGAATCAAAACATCTAAATGTTTCACAAGTAGCTGCTCAGAAATCAATTTATATCATAAGGATCACACATGAAATGCATGTGTTTGACGTATTGCGCAAAATTAAGTGTGAACCACATAATAGCGACGTGTACATTTTTTTAAGTGTAATAATAACATTCCGTTTGGTGCTAAACCATCTACAAACCGACATGAATGACCATAGCAAAAACAATAAAATGTCTGACCAAAGCACACTAGGGGAAACGCTCCTATAATTGCGGTACATTAGAAGCGTTAGGTTCCTATAGTTGTGCATGGAGACTCAATACACAACTATAGGAACCTAACGCTTCTAACGTACCACAACTATAGGAGCGTTTACCCTACTGACATCTGGCTCCGTGTTCGCAGGAAATATTTAGCTAAGCCATGAACCCGCACGCAAAAGTTATGAATTGGTTCGTGCCTGATCTATTCTGGACAAATTATTTTTATCTAGATAAAAAAATCCTATGATTTTGACAGTTCGGATCACTGCACATTTAAATCGGTTTTCGATTTTCGGGCATAAGTCAGAATTAAGTTTCATGTCGGTTTGTCGGTGGCTAAACTACGTTGAATTAAGAAAGACTAAGCGGGTTGTTGTTAATAGCGGTAATGGGGTAGTTAATCCTAGTTTTATTTAAACTTTTTCATCATTTCAACATCATTTCACAGAATCATCTTTGCGGTAAATGCAACGCAGTAAGCCTGGCCGTTTTGATGTTTGTGTCTTATTAAAGATATTCTGCAAACATCAATGTTGACAAGAAGGCGTTATCTAACCAACCCGGTAACGTGGGTAGATCACCTTTTCGTGGTACGTTACGGGATGTAAGATCTACCACCGAATCTTAGTCTTGACTACTTCAAACTAGGGGTACAGGATTTTTCAGTAATCAAAGGAACACATCTTAGTCCTTGTTACTTTTTATGCCTTGTTGATAGTGATAAGTCCTCGGGTTGCCTGTACCGAGGATGATCTTGAAACAAGGAAAAAATGAGTTAGTTAGTCTTCATCTATGTGATTCCTAATCTTCTATTCGTTGTTCCCCAGTTTGAAGTGGTTAAGACTAGGGTTCTGATGCATGGTCATTATCGGTGTCATTGCTTATTTTTATTGCTAAGGAATCCCATTTCGACTGACAAAGGGGCGCGCCTTTGGAGGGTATTCCAACACTCCGAAGGGTATAAATAGCGGGACCTTTCATTTAGAATCGATTCCTTGCGATGAAGGCAAGAATGACAACTGTATCAACACCGAATACTTCATCATTTCTCAATAGTGATGGAGTATTTAATACGACATGCACTAAACTAAAGACACGGGCTATACTACAATAGATCAAATTACTGGTCGCAGTAGTGTTATGTCCCGAACAAAGGAAAAAAAAAAACCTAATCATTTTCCAGGTAGCTTCCTCGTACTGGCTGCGTTTGTATTAGATTAGATCAAGACCAACAATTGAAATGGCCTTATGGTCTCTGTCATTTCCAAAAGTTCCACGAAAAAAAAATGTTGTCGCAATGGTAAGTAGGATATATGATATAGATTGAAAAAAAAACACTTCCGTGCCAACAAATTCTTGAATATACGACAAAGAGGGAGGGGCCTGGGGGGGGGGAGTATTGCCCAACAGATGTAAGAACCGCTCACCAAAATGATGTTAAAAAAAATCAATTTAATCATGGCATCTCTGGGATACACATTATTAAAAATAAAAAGTTTGTCTCGGGCTCTTACGGGTTAAATAAAGAACATCTATCAGGCATGAGCTCTCTCAAAATTTCATGTACTCTTCAGGTGAGCATTTTTCCGTGTTTCAATTGTTCTCCGCCACCCTGCAACAACATGAACTTCCAAAGCATTCGGAATCAGTTTTTTTTTCTCAAACCGAAGCTTTTTTATACGAGCTTTTGTGATATTATTTCGCCCGAAACGACAGCTTTTCCATCTCAGTTAACCCCCACACGGACTATAAAACCTACTTGTGAGTTGAATTCGGCTCAACTTTATCAAAAGAGGATTTGCTCACAAAGTGAGTAACATATTCCGTGCTTTTCCAGGAAAAAAAAAACTGCTCGAATATGAAGAATTCCGATGAAAATTACACTCTGTGCAGGAGTTTACTAATTGACTGACTGGACCTCTCTCGATTTTCCTCATATTCCAGAAGTTTTTCCAGGAAAATCTCGGAAAATACAACTCACTTTTAAGTCGGTTTCATCGTCCGTGCACATCATTTCACATACACGCACGAAGTTATCTATCCGGAGACCCCAAACTCCTTTTAGCGACCTGAAAGTCTCATAAATAAAGCTAACCTTACCAAACCTAATAGTGACAGTGAAAGAGAGCGAGGGCTTTTCTCGAAAACTTTCAGAGGAGCCACCCAAAGCATCTCTGAAGGCCTACAATGTTGTTGAACCGCGCCGCGAGAGGATGCGAACGAGATAAAGATAGAGAGGGAGAGAGATGAGATGAAGCCAAAGCCCAACTAGTTACAAAAGCCCAGTCTCATCTCGGTAGAGGTCCCCCCAAAGCAGAAGATCCGCCAGTCTCCATCGATTCACCGTCAGAAAAAGATGTGGCCTAGTGGCACCCGCGGGACGACGACCGTTCGGCTAGTAGTACTACCCTCCTGATTCAGAACACTCTCTCAGCAGTGTAGGAAAAATCATCATATCCTGAAATTGCGTTCGTTTGAGTTTTTCTCGTGCCTGATTTATTTTCCAAATTACTCCCGGTAATGGTTTTGCACTGTTGCATAGTGAGTGAAAAATTAGATAATTTGAGTTTGAAGACCGAGGAGTGACCGCCGCATTGATTTTCATCCGGTTGATCCGTTTTTTTTCTCGAAAGGGCAGATTGTCAGTGACTTTGCAAGGATCCGACGCAAAAAATGGACCCAGTCTGGATCGAAAACTATCTCCGATGGGGTCAAGGTTTCAGCTTTTGCTTAGTTTTGAAAGTAAGTTGGAAATGATTTCGAGTATTTTACATCGATCGGAATTGTTACTGAAGTTCAAAGTCCATCGTAAAGATCCTTAGTGCAAAAGTGAATTTTCAGCTGTATCGATTTATTGCATTTTTTTTTCTTTAGTCGTATGTTTGACATCTGTGAGTTGGGATAAATGTTAGTGGCACACAAGAAAGAAAACGGCTGCAAGCTCACCGATTCGAGATGAGAAAACAGCAACGATGAGAGCAGCAGCTTCAGCTCGCCCCAGCATCATCTCCACCCGTGTCCTGGCTGATGCTGGCTTTTCCCGTAGAGGAGGTTTGTGATGTGAATGCAACTGTCAATTTGAGGCCCCACTCGCACGGAACGTCGCGGAGAAAGAAGAGAAAGAGAGAGAGAGGAAGTGACTCGCCGTCGATCGTGTGTTGCTCGCACAGAGAGCGTGAAATTTTGGCAAGTGAGAGCGCCTCCTTCGATGAGCTTTTCGCTACCAACGAAAGCTCTTCGATGTGCTGAAAGAAAGAGAAGAGCAGGGTGGGAGAGAATATTGTGTAATAATAACAACAAACACGCCTGCTTGCTACGTGATAGTGTGTGCGATTTTAAGGTGATATGCGCTTTTGATGCGTGTTAGTTCATTTGGGGTTGCTCCCGTCCGTCGTTGTCGCTTTTCACCACCCTCGAAAGCACGTTCCTCGGAAAATTCAGCTGTTGATAGTGTTGGTGGACTAGTGTGTCGGTGTGTGCGTGTCGCCTTCGTCGCGTGGAAGAGCGGCAGCAGAGGAAAATAACAGCAGCCAAGTGATCGCAGGTAGGTCCTAACACAATAATGATTTTTCTTCACTCCTGTGCGATAACTATGATGAAAGAGCAGCCAAGTGGCCCCACCTTGATGGGGAGGTTGCTGACTGTACAGATGAAGGGGGTCGGTATTTTTTTCCGTCAATTGAAAGGGAATATTTTCCACACTAAAAAGCGTACACATTTTCTTGGAATTGGTTCGAAAACAGTGCTTGTATTTCACGCGATAAAGTTCGTTTAAAAGTGGAAAATTGAGATATCTGGGGCCTCATTATGGAAACATATCGAAACGACAATATTAGCGTTTATATGAAAAATTATCCATTTCGATTTTTTTTTTATTTTGAACGAATTATAAATTATCCATCGTGAAAGGAATACTGACTCGGATACGTGTAAAAATTACTATGTTTTAGGTTTGCTTTAAGTTTCAAGTGCAAATTTCGTTTTAATCCGCGGAATTCTGCGGCATCGAAATGCGTACCCGTACCTCCTCCAGATTGTATAAATTGTTACGTTTTAGGCCAGAAAGAGTTGATTTTAGCAGTGGGAATGGGCTTGTGCTCAATATTTGTTTGTATAGAGTGCCTACTACCTTGATAAAAAAAACTGGAAAACCGGGAATCCTCAGGGAATTCTATTTCTCCTGGAAAAACCTGGAATTCTCAGGTAATTTTGAAATTCTCGTATCAAGCAGATTTGCTTCCACTCACTGGTTATACAAAATTGTTTTTGGAAATTATATGCTGTAATGATTGTACTTTTAAGTTATAAGAAGAGGTTGTACAGTATGTGTTTGACTCTTAAAACCAGTCATTTTCGCTTTCATCACTCAGAGTGCGCGCTCACGATTTGTTAAATCGCAAGTTGTGACGCTATGAAAGCAATATTGACAGGTTTTAGGTATGTGTCAAACACATACTTGACAACCTCTTATTGTAAGGATTTCATAATTCCGAAAAACATTGTTTTACAGCAAGTGAGCTGAAGCAATCCTGGTATCAAGCATTATGCAATTCTCGATGAACATTTCAAAATGTCCTATCTGCTTTGATCGATTCTCTTCATCGACTATGCATAACTTAGGTTTTTATCTAGCGTCCAAAACGTCAAATGCATCAGGAAAAGGTTTTGCAGCAGAGTTATTAATGAAAGAGAAAGTCGTTGAAGAGAATCGATAAATGCAGATAGGACTTTTTGAATTGTTTATCTAGAATTCTCATTTGGGGAAATTAGATTAGAATATATTGAAGAATACAAGGACCCTTCTCAAGATTTTAATAACATTTTACAACCATCTTTAACTTCCTCCTTATTCACATTGAACATATTAATTCTAGAATGGATTTCTCTTCATTAACATCCTATAACAATTCAGAAACTTGGATTGGGTTGTTTAGGGATATTGAGGTAAATCCATATTCGTTATCTGCATTAAAAATGGAACTGAAATCCAAAATTTCATCAATTTTGGAACACTAGAACTATTTTAAATAAGTACGCTTACATTAGCAAAAATCACCATTTTAGCGCCCCTTGGTGGGACTTTGCATGGGAGTGAGCTGTCAATGAATAGATTTAGTGTCAACGATCAAAAATTTAAATCTTGATTTAAAAATCGAAATGAATGTCTACAGGATCGATAAAAATATGGTTGTGCTCAGAAAGCGAAGCTCTATCAGATGATGTATAAAAATCGGTATATTTTTTCGAAGTTAAACAACCCAATTGTTTTTTAGGGGTTCTGAAACAAAGACAATTTTTTGAAACCCCGGATTTTAGTATACCAGACTTCGAGAAATTTTCAAGAATTTGGCTCGAAAATAAAGGTTTTACCACAGACAAACAGACTTGACACTTAACGGTAAATTTAAAAGTATCGTAGTTGGTAGTACCGCCACCTGTGGCGTGCATAGTCAATTCCCTTACGCTTGACGTTTACACACTACCGCCATCTGTTCTGCGTACTACCTACCATAGTGTACTCAATAGATGGCGGTAATGTTTTAGCGACGATGTTTTACAGTGAGAAATATTCAATGTGTTATGCCTGTTTGTCTGTGGTTTAACAGTGTATGAACATAAATGAATTAATTCAATGATAATTTTTCGGGAACTCTAGCGATAATTTCAGAGGAAACGAACATTTGATCTGAAATCTGAAGATTGCTTATTAAGTTAGTTTTGTTGAACTTCAGTTCTGAGTATAAATCCAAGGGAAACCTGAGTAGTATTCAAAGAAAATTGTCAACAGAATTCTGAGAAGGATTCCGAGGAAATTTCACAGAGAATTTTGACAAAGAGTTTTGACTGAAATTGTAAAGTAATTTTGAGAAGATTTCTAAGGGAACTGTACTTGTGAGTAGAATTCCAAGAGAAGATCGAGAATCCAAAAGAATTTAATGAAAATTATGATAATAGTTCCAACAGAATTCTGTGGAGCATTCCAAAGTTTCAAGGACATTTTTAACAATGTTTTGAGGTAAATTTCAAAGGAATACTCTCCAATGGTTTTAATGTTGTCTTCAATTCCATTATAAGCCTTATAAACCTCTTCAAATCCACGATGAAGCCAACATTGTTACTTGGGTTAGGAAAGTTTTAAGGATATTCCTGTAAACATTTTTAGTTAATATGAGTTCTTATGGAATTCTGAGGAGCATTTATAGGAATTTACGAGACTATTTCAAGAGAGTTCTGAGTCGAATTTAGAGCAAATTCCAGGGATAATTCCATGAGAATTTCTGGAAAATACTTAGTGAATATTGGGCAGATTTCCAAGAGAAAATCTGGACTCCAAAAGAATTCAATGAAAATTCTGAGAATAGTTTCAAAAGAATTCTATGGAGTATTCTAGAGTTTAAAGGAATTTTCCAACGATGTTTTCAGGCAAATTTCAAAGGAATACTTAGGAGTGAAGGCTGTTCATTAGACTGATGCAAATTTTGACATTTTCGCTCCACAGTGCTCAAAAGGTTCCAAATCGGGTCCTGGTTAGTCTCCCAAAATTTGAACTCATTTGAAAAGAAACTGACTTGGCACAAACCATTTGAAGTTTATATGGAAATTACTATGGGAAATCCAAACTTTTTGTTCATTGTCTTCTTACCCTTTTCCATATGGCACTGTTCAAAAATTCAAAAGCTATACTTATGGAAAATTTTCTCAGCTTCAACTTAGCAGAATATAATTGTTGAGCCAAACGTCAAATAAAATAATTATTAATTGTTTAAGAGATTGATAATCTTCTGGCATGATCAAGCAGCTGTTTTGTCAGCAACACTGTATCTTGCAGTGTGACATAGTAGCCATGATTTTTGTCCTCTATTCCAAGCGCCAGAAACACCAATGTTGCCTGCTGAACAGTTGATTGAGCATAATCGTAAGAATAAGTGGCTTTAATTATTGATAACTTTTGGTGCTTACATTATATTGAAAAGTGGTTCAGGACAAAGTTGTAGCTGAGAAAATTTTCTACGAGCTCAGTTATCATTTTTAAAAGCAGAGCGATATGGTAAATTGTTAGATGGATATGAACAAAACATTTGGTTTTCCTATAGTAATTTCCATATTAACTTCAAATGGTTTGTGCCAAGTCAGTTTCTTTTTAAATGAGTTCAAATTTTGGGAGACTAATCAGGACGCGATTTGGAACCGTTTGAGCACTGTGGAGCGAAAATGTCAATTCTTGCATCAGTCTACTGTTCATGTAATATTTTTTAGACCATGAGGTCCTAGGGAATTCTGATGAGCATTTTCAGGAATTTACGGGACTACTTCACGAGAATTCTGAGTGGAAATTTAGAAGAAATTCTAGAGATCGTTCCATGGGAATTTCAGGAGTGAACACTGGGCATAGTTTACTTCAGGGAATTTCATTAAGGCATGCTTAGAAAATACAGCGAACCCAATTAAGAGAATTGCAAATTTAATATTATGGAGAAAATTGTATGGCAATACCAAAGAGAGAGAGAGAGAGAGAGCTCTACAGCGAGCTCTGTCGACATATTTAGATGATTCAATGGAAATTCTTGAGAAAATTCTAAAGAAAATCTTTGAAGAGCTCCAAGAGTCCAGATCCAGGACAAATAGGATAAAAAATAAGACTCGCGTTTCTCAGATTTGCATACAATTTTGCATGATTGTATGTTATGGGCAATCATTCACATTTTTACAAAAATTCTGCCATTTTGAATAATGTATTTTTTTCAAAACTGCGTCTTTGTAATTTTCCAATAAATTGTAGTACAAAAACGACACTTCTGAACGAAATGACGTCTGAGACAAAGTTGTTTAATTTTTAAGTTTTTAAACATGAATTCTCAAACTCTACGCTATGAACAATTGTTAATCTTACAATGTGAATGTTAGGGGAAGCGGGGGTAAAATGTGCATGCGGGATAAAATTAACAATTGACGATTTTAAGTGCTTTTTCATTCAAATATCAATCAATTCAACGCACACGGTCTTTCATCCATTTACATTTTAAATCCTTTACATTAATATAATATACTCCTACTAGGAATAATTAGTTTAGAATTTCTGTTTGCTGGAAAAATCATTTTTACCACGGAAAACCTGTTTCTTTTGTTTTTGCAATTGTAATAAAAACATTGCTTCATTGTCAGCAGCATTTATTCTTTGAAAATAAAAAAAATAGCATTACATATTGCATTGAATTGTACATACAAGTTTTGATTGACTTTCAATTTTCAAGAGATTTCGTTATCGCAAATTCAACGGAGATAAATAACATCGTCAATTGAAAGGGACAATGCTTCAACCTAATCAGCCCTATCAGCGTTTGTTTTGGATTGTCCGAGAGGCAGTTTGGATTCCGGAAAGGGAGATCAACGGTGGATGCAATTCGGACAATGGCCGAGAGAGCCGAGAAGGCGTCCAAACAGAAGCGAAGACGAGATCGATATTGCACCGTGGTAACGGTCGATGTCAGCGCAGCTGAAAAGCCAGAGCCTGGTTCTGGTCTACGAGACAGATATGGGACAGAG